AATATAATAATGTTCTTGAACAATAAAACTTTTTAATTTTTTTACATATTGACCTCAGAATCATTTCAGCTATTTTACCACAATTTTGAGAAGTCATCTTGGTTGACTTTTGACTCCCCGCTATGTTCCACTGTGCTGGCTTCCCGTTTTGTGTTTAATGATTTTTATACTGTTAAAATCTGACTTTTTGGCCTTCCTTCATACAAGCGATTTTTCAGAATCATTTTTGTCATGTTGTAGCACAATATTTGTCAATCTATCTTTTAAGGTTTATCTCCAGTACCTTTTCACTTTAAAACGCATTATTATTATTATTATTATTATTATTATTATTTTTGTTGTTGTTGTTGTTGTTGTTGTTTTAGTTTTAGTTTTATTCTAGAAAGGGGTTTCAGTCATGTCCAGAATGTCTCTTTAGGATAGAAATTTGCAACCAAGCTTCAAATTTTTTAATTCATTCTGTTACCAAGTGGGATTTACTGATTTAGTTTTATCACATATTGATTTAAATGAAGCATAGTGAAAATTGAAAAATATTTCCAGCCTGCATTTGTAAGTGATTATTACTTACTGATTTTGGAAATTAATGTAATAAAGGTACAGAATAAAATTAGTCATTCAATTGAATGTGTTACTTATCACTAGTTTCATTGTTTCTTCACATTTATTGTTGTTGTAGGCTCCCCCCCCCCCCCGTTTTTGTTTGTTTTTGTTTTTGATCAATTAATCAATCTATTTTTTCCATAAAATTTTTTGTGAAAGGCACTAATCTGACACTTTTATCCCCTTTGCAAAGCATCCTATTTTATTTTATTTTTAACATTAATTTTTTTTCTGTGTGTTTAGATTACACGGTGAATAATCAACAAAACTTGGAGTCAAACTAAACAGGCTCATGACTGTTACAGATATCAACAATAATGTATTGAATTAAAGCAAACTACATATTCTGTATTCAGTAGCATGTGATCTGTTTGAACAACATACTGTCACATCATAACCACAGGAAGGAGAATTGATCAAACTTAGTGGAAGAGTGCAAAAACCTGACTCACTCAGAGAAATTCTTTTCATACTATGCCCCTCATTTCTAGAGAGCACATTAGAATTTGTCAAAGGAAGGGCTTTGAAGGATTTACCTTTGCATACAAATCTCATTTTGTAATTGCCCCCTCAGCCTTAACAGAATTCCTATCTTTTTCTGTTGAATTCTATTTTCAATGCAAACACATGCAATCATTTAAGCAGATGTCTTTTTTATTCAATACTACCTCCCATTGTTTTATCAAAGAAAGGCAGACATCTATGAATATTTCTCAGTCAGTACATTCTCCCTCAGAGGGTTAAGTAATCGGTGAGCCCAATTCCTGATTTCCATCTTCATATGTGTCTTAGAATATTTGTAGCATCAATAATGCTGGTCTGAAAGTTAAAGTATCCTGCTTGGAGTATGTAAGCAGATAATTCATCACAGGAATTTTGTTTTCTTGGGAAGTGACGATTCCCTTCTATACAGTGTTTTAAGTATGACAGGTATAAAGAGTTAAAGGGCCATGCAATCATGCTATTTGCCCATACTTCTAAATTTTTAAGTTCTTATATGTGAAAAAGACAAAACTTCATTACTGCATAGTATGTTCTGCCATCTGCTTGAACTGTTGGTTTTCGGTAACTTACTTTATTGTATTATAGCCACGAAATGTTTTAAATATCTTCATAATTTGGAAAAACATCTTGTAAATTTTAAGAAATTCATTCAGAATTGGAAAATCTGTTTTGTAATTTAAAATTTATTCCTGTTGATGTACTGTAAATTTTCAATTACAAAAACTATATGCATAAAATATCTCAAGTATTTTCAGTATTTTTAAAAATAGTAAAAATGTTTTTTATAAGCTCTGTTAATTTACATATAACTAAATTCCATTCGCACGATGTAAGAAAATAGTATTAGTTTCTATGTCATTTGTCAAGAAATTTTAATTGAAGTATTGTGAGTCGTAAAACTCCTATAGTATGAGGAACTTTTAAAGCTATATAGATATCTCCCACTTTTCAAAGATCCATCTGTCAGACTTCTTAATTTATAAACAAAGTCCATGCTTCAGTGCATGATCCTCTCTTTTAGCTTTGTTGTAATTTTTCTCCTATGTAAATGCAATATTGTGTTTGTATTTACCATACTAGTACGCATATGCCATTGCGTGTTCTAATTTCTTCAAGTGATATGTAGTGTGTTTATGCTTTCTGGTTGCGACAATACATTTGTAGATTTTTAAGTGTATGTTCCTGCTTCAAAGATTTTAAGTATTCTAGAGTGCTGTACTCCGTAAGTAGTTGAATAAAAGGGATACCTATCTCTCTCACATACACATACTCTCTCTCTCTCTCTCTCTCTCTCTATATATATATATATATATGAAATGTAATTTCTCAGACATTATTTGTTTTGTGCAGCCGGGGCAACAGGAATGAGACAAATTTTGGAATATAAAGTGGTAGATTTATTTTAGCATCCATCTCGTAAGCGTTCTCCTCGTACCTTGAGCAGAAGCCCTATTTATACATATGTGTGCGTCACGAGGGTCATCCAATCAGCGATATTAATTGAAATCACGAGGTGATGCTATCTTCTCATCAGGAGTGTTCTTAAGGACTTTATGTAATATGACAGATTTATGAGTTTGGCGATTTGGCGGGCGCCAATAGGTTAATGTATTTTATACGAAAGGATTTCGCCAAATTTAGGAACAGGGATGCATTTAGGTAGAGAATCGCCAACACATTATTAAGCAATATTAATAGAATTTAATTTAATCAATTGCTTTAAAAATATCATTACATATATATATATATGATTTTTTAAGAAGAAATATTAGTGTTTCTTCTAAAATTTCTGTTTAAAGGGAGTTTGTAGTGTTATTATATTATTATGATTGCATTTTTGGTGCATCAGATTTTAATGCTTTTAGCAAGATTGTGCTTAAAATTAATATCTACATTTGAATGTAGTTGTAGGTATTTTCTTAAAAAAAAAAAAAAAAAAAAAAAAAAAAATTTGCTTGCTTTTAAAAACTGATGCTTTTCATGCTTTGTTTCCTTTTTACAAAAGTTTTTTTAGATGATTTGCATGTTAAATTTATAAACAAATTTGCACCAAAATACGGAATGCCTTAGATTTTAGTTTTCGTCAAGTTGTGCTTTTAAAAACTTTTTTTTGGTTGCATTATTTTCGAAACTGCATATTAAATGCTTGCTATTTATTATAGCATGTGTCAGTAGTGCAGCAGTGCAGCAACAGTTACATAATACATGTTTGGTGCAAGTTTGTCCGTAATGGTCTATCTCCTCCTCGATTCTCGTGGCAAACTGCAATCTTAAAATATAGAATGACAGTTTGTCAGAAATTGCATTTTTTTATTGGAAGGGGGGAGGCTGTGAATGTAACCTTCATGTTGTTAAACGTAAATAACCTTTTTACAATGAGATTCTTTGCTCTGCATATTTCGGTATTGCAGTTCTAATGTCCTCTTAATAAAATTATTAAATTTCCCTTTATTCTGTTAGTTGAAACCATGAATAAATAGTGCATTAAACTTGATTTCTTATTATAATGTCAGTACCTGTCAGCTATTGTTAATGATAGATGGTTTTTCTATTGAATGTTTTATAGGTAAACATGAATATGTAACATGAATTATACCAACTATTAAATATGATTGTATTTTTTATGCAAATGAAAACTTGTTTTTAAAAAGAAGGTATTTTCGCATATTAATTAAATGAATAGCATTTCTTTAAATTTCTTTTGTGTATTCTTTGAAGTCATGCGATGAATTCCCCTAAAATAAGCATCACAAAACTGTACAACTTCTTATTTTGTATTTCTTAATGTTCAGATCTGTGCTTGTCAAGAAATTTTTATTTTGATAGTGATGTATAATTTTCCAAAAGGAAAGTTGTCTTATTTTATGAAAACTGGATGTATTCTCAGGAAATTTAGTCAATAGCAAAATTTGACACTTTGTTGCTGAATTCTAGGGCCATAGCAGAACTTCCATATAATGGCATTTTTGGTAGACTGCTAAATATTTTTCTTTTTAAATCTTAATTGATATCATATCTCTTGCATGTGTTTTAACTACTTAATTCCTAACTACTTACATTAATGTGACTAAATGTAATTATTACTTTTAACTGTAGTTTATTAAGTTTTGAGGAGGAGATAGTATATACTAACATTTAACAGGTTTCTAACTGTAAGCATGTTTGTTCTATTGACACCTACAATGCTAACAATCCTATTACAGGTACCATTCTGCCAACATTCAGTGAGCAATATGGGTTATAGTTTCCATCGGTAAACATTTTTAATATTACTGTCTGCATAGCTGCACACACCTTTCTAAAATTTCTAATAAATTAGATTCCTTTTACCTCTCTTTTCCTAAAGTTGTGCACCTTTTTTTTTCACATGTGTATTTTTTATAATATTATATTTGAATTATATTTGAATTATATTTGAATGGTTAATTTGTTATTTAATTCAGCTTATGTATGTTTTGCACTGGAATTTTATTTGCATGGTGAAATTTGAAGTATATTAATTTTTTGATTGTATGAGGATTCTAATAATGAGAATCTCTCTAAGTGTTATAAGTGGGTCCTAATTATGAATCATTTCTCAAGTCTTGAAAACAAATTCATATGTTTCATTATAATGGAACTGAAATTTGTTGCTTAATGAGGATAAATTTTCTTAAATTTAAAGGTCATTGTTTAAAACTTAATGTTCTAAATGAAATCTGTAAATTCTTAAATACTATTAGTATTTATCTAAGCTCTATAAATTTTATATATCCTTTACTCACAGCTGTCGTTGCACTTAAGTATTATCTTAAATTTTCTGCTTTTTCTATTGTATTTTACGCATGTTGCTTCACTTTTAAATTTCTGTAGTTATTTAGATTCAAAATTTATTTATTGCATTTTTTTAACAGGATGGATATCTGTGCTGCAAATACAGCAGTTCTTGCCATGATAGTGATGATTTCGTCACTTCAGAGCTGTTGCAAAGTAACAGCACTGCCAATGACTCTGATATATCTAATGATAGCCATAAGAAGAACACTGAGGTGGCTGATAGTAAAACTTACAATCATTCCAGCATCTCTAATGATGTTTCTTCCAAGCCTAAATCAAGGAAATTATTATCACTTCTCTTCCCAACAATTAAGGACTACTCTGGTTTGGAAAACATGCAAAAAAGAATTGAAAGAGAAAGGCACTTTGTAATTGAGAAATTCATGCCTGCCTTTCATAATATAAAGTTGACTTCAGTATTAGAAGGTGCTGTTGTCAATGGTGCTACTGCCTCGGGCATTTTGCCTACTTCAGAAGAAAACAAAACCAACAACTTTGTTAGAGTTTGAAACATAAAACTTTATTCTGATTAGTTTCTGGTATAGGCAATTACCATTCATGGAGCCAGTATCTAGAGTGCTAACTAAAACTCAAAACTAGTTTCTTTTTCATTGATGGAAGTAGTTCCAGCTATTTAGAGTTGCCATGTACCACCATCAATTGCTACATCTGCAGGGCGGATGCTCAGACCGTACAGTGCTGGCTTATTGCATTAAATAATTATTCGTGTCATTCAGAGGTACCCAAGATATGTTTTTCTGTTTTGGGTATAAGCCAGAGCTGCTGATCTTAAAATTTAAATTGGTATTGGCAACATGTTTTGATATTTCGTACAGATGTACTTTTCTTTCAGGGAGTTTTTATATATATACATATTAGCACACATGCAAAAACTTTTATTAAATAATTTGTACATAAAATGTTGACTGCTTGCCTCCATGCATTTTGTTATGTCCTTAATTTATTTCAAATGTAATTTAAATGTAATATAAAATGTGTTGAGTGATAAGACACTGACACTACTGAAGTTTTTTGCATACAGTATGTTATGTACAGGGACCTAGTCCAAAAAAAAAAATGTGTGCCTCTTAGGCTACTGTGAATTTTCCAGGTGTGGTCACCAATTCCACCCTTATGAAATCAAGAGCTGGACTCTTGAGTATACTTTTCTTTGTTTTTGCATTAACATCTGACAACACCTAAACGAGGTTTGGGACTGTTATTTCATAATGTTGTCGTTAGGGTGACTAGTCATTTTGTGTGACCGAAGTATTGTTACGACTCTTTATGTTGTACCAAAGATGTAGCAGGTCCAAACAGATGCATTTAAGTATGTAGTGCCTGGTAGATAAAAGTGATGAAGATCCCTGTTACAAATTCGGTCATAAGTTGATTTACATTCCAGTACTTCAGAACAAGCTCCAGATTGCATCAATATTATCTTCTCTGAAGTTCAATGCTTGTAGCTGCTGTTCCTATAAAAACTCGGTGTTTATGTGCTTACATTCCACAGCTTTGCTTTGAGTAATGAAATTAAATGGACAATAGTCAAAGCTTACTTCTCAATAGCACAAAAATAGTATGTAACTAGATGTAATGTTCCACACAGAAAGCAGTAGACCTTAAAGAAAATGTAGATCACAAATATAACCTACTACAGCTTTATGAGATCAGGCCTAAGCAAAAAGTCTTCCTCTTAAAGGGTGCTTATCCCTTTAAACATCTTTAGAGTAGCTCATTTTGGTCTTAATAAGTGTTTTTATTCAATGCTCTTTGTTGTTTTATCTGTTTTATTCATAAGCTGTTATCCGCATATGATCTTATAATCTCTAAATATTCTGTGACATTTTTGCACTTGCCTTTTCTAAATAAAATAAATATATTAAGTCATGTATAATGCCATCTTAAAGTTACAAAACAAACTGGTTAGAATGCAAATGTTAACAAATTGAAATATAAATTGAGTATTAGGTTGGAAGTGTTTTAAGGGTAGAAAATGTCATTTTGCATAAATATTTTCACTTTCTTTTCAAAATGCAGTATAATATTGTGAATTTCAAAATTCTGTAAATTATTTTCATTCATTTCTAATATACATTATGTCAGAAATGTAAATATTGAGTCCTTAATATGTATGCTTAAACATACCCGCAATGGGACTTGTACAGTTTGATGAAGAAATTTATAATTGAATACTGAGGCCACAAAATGTTGCAAAAATTAAATGACCGAATGCTAAGGCCATTTGCTGGTTAAAATGTTCCTTTGTAAAATGTATAGTTTGAGCAACTTTAAAAACTTTATGCTAACTTCTGTTTTAAAATGTTAAATACTTCAATTAAATGCACAATTTGTAAGACATAATTTTTAATCAAAATCATTTCAATCACTAACATATTCTAGGGCTGTTTTAAAAAATGTTGCAGGCATTGAATATGATATACGACATGTAATAAAAAATCTAAATCCCTTGATTTTTAGCAATATGTATTTTCAATACATTTTGAAATTTTGGGAGAAGTGTAAAATTTTAAACCCTTCTTTACATGTGTGTATTTCATATTTGCTTATTTGAAATACTTTGTACTGTTATTTCATGTATCCATGTAGCTATGTTTTGTATTGTTACTATCACATATTCAGCATTTGATAAGAATGTAGTCTTTTAATTAATAAGCTTCAAATTAATTTCTTGTATCCTTGATACTAACCCTTTTTTGTGTTATAAAATTAGAAATAATGTTATGCTTATAAATACTTGAATTTTATCAAAATATGTGCAATCTTCCTTAGTTACTCTAGGGTAAAACTATATCGTGAATTATTTTTCTAAGGAAAAGATCTATTCCCCATGGAAGAGTTATGCATGTGTAAATTACTTTGTTGAAGAGGGATCCAGTGACATTTTTCTTTTTGTAGACTAGTCTTTGTGAATAGTCAATACAGTGTTGTACTTAATGTATTTTGCCTGAGAGGAAAGCTTATTATTGCTATTTATAGTCTATGTCTGCTTTTACCATATTGTTACAAACATAATGTGTAACACGTTTTTCCTAAGGAAAAAAAAAATATAAACTGCTAACTGTACTAATAACTTAAAATTGTTGCTTCATGTAAATAAAAGTTCTTGTTTCTTTTTATACAATTTGTTATTTGCGTAAAATTGATTTCAATAAGAAAAATGGCAGTGCAGTTTCTACATTCCTAATTTTATAGTATATACTGTGAATAAAATTGTATAGTTTATGAACGTATTTATTAAAACAGAAGTATTATTGTAATTTTAATGTACAAAATTACTTTTTGCTTTAGAAATTCAATAAATAGCCATTATTCTACAAACAGGTTTCATTAAATATGAATGCAACATTTAACTGCATTTAATCCGAGTTTTATACAATATTACATATATAGTTTAATTCAAGATAAAATGAATCCTCTGAAAGTGATTAATACTTGAGAAATAAACTGAGTCTTAATGAGCCATAAGTATTTGCTTGGGAGTGAAGCATCGGATGTCATTGAAATTGTTCTGTTTCATCTCTGAATTCCTCATTAATCTGTTTTAGACTGCTGGAGGATCTGAATGGATAGATGAAAGTTTTTCAAAAAATTTCGAAGCAGGCAAAGGAAAGATTAAATAATTTTTGTTTTGTCTAGTATCAAAGCAACCTTGCCTTAGAAAGAATTAAGTCTTTCTGTTGTTGTTGTTTAGAATGAAGATTGCTATCGAATATTTTTCTAATAACCTAACCTTAATATCAGCATTTTGCCAGACATCTTAATTATGGCTATACATATGCAAATGGAACTTTTTCATCAAATTTTAAATTTCTGGAGTAGAAAAGATTGGTTCTGTAACAGACTTTTTCTTTCATCATATAGCTACTAATACACTTCAAAATTAAATTATTGCTTTAAAAGTGACAGGGACCGATTAAAATAGCTGACAAGGAAAGTCTCACAACCTTGAACTCTTTAATTTTTGTAATAAAAAAAAGTATGTGCATAGTTGCATACTGTAGTTTAAAAAATGAAAGGGAAATCATGTAAAAGATCATAAAAGAAAAGTTCTACATTTTCCTTGGCATCTTTATCAGCGAGTTACAAATTTAAGTGCGATATATGCATACACTCACACATACATATATACACGCATATATATATATAATTCACAATATTAAATAATAGTTAAAAATTCTTTGGTCTTTATCAAGGAACATATGAAGGAATTTTGAGCCGAACCATGTTTCTGATATACGTATGGATGAAAAACAAATTTCAAAAATATATTAAAAAAATTAAAAGAGTATAATTAAACGAGAATAAGCGAAATAATTTTTTTAAGGATAAAATATGACAACTTGCTCCAACATGATTCGAAATTAGTTGCACAGTATACAAAGTTAAATATATATAATATCTAATAAGGGAAAAATTTGTGTAAAACTAGAAATTTTTAAACTAGTGACTTATAAATGCAGAATGGTATATTGTACAAATCATTGAAAAAATACAAATGTGGAACCTAAAACCAAAAAAAAAAAAAGCAAAACTGCCCAATTTTCATCAATATGAAATTGTTAAGTATAATTCTGAAATAAAATTTTTAAATTTAGATTTAGGAGAAATTCATAAAATGCTAAAAAATATAGGTGAATGAACGGGCATCAAGTTTTTGCAAACTGGAAGTTCCAGGGAAACAAAAGTGAATATACATTAAACCAGTAGTTTCTGACATGATTCAAAACAGATGCATCATATAAAATACTAGTAAAACCGAGTTGGCGAAATGTACAAGCAAACCAAGTAAACGATTAAAGAATTCTGAAAAATCATGGAAAAGGCAAAAATGTGCAAACTCTGCCAATGTAAAATTGATAAATTAAAGTAGAATTTAGTTTCAGTATGAAATAAAGTTTCCCAAAAAACATGTAAAAAATAATATACAAAACAGTAAAAAAAAAAAGAAATCTGAAATGTTTCAAATTTCAGTCCAAAGGGGCGTTTTTTTAATGTTGTGTGTTACCTTTATTTATTTATTTATTAAATAAAGGTAACACACAAACTTTCTTTTCTTTGCACTTAAACCATAAGTTCTTTGCACTTAAACCATAAAATTTAGTTCAATAGCAATGTCGCAAAATAATTTTAAAATGAGCATATCATTAGAATTTCCGATACACTACACAGTTCGACGCACTAGAGATAAAAAGTCCCCCCCCCCGTAGAGTGTTGCCATTGCTCGCTTTTAAATCGCTCAGTTTGTTACTCAAAAATTCGTTAAAGTTTTACAAAATATGAAATCGTTAATTAAACAAAATTTAAGATTTCAGATGCCCATATTCGCAGTAGGATTACGTTATTCAAAATTATATGGCTCTAGATACCGTTGTTTTATTACAATGCGAGAAATACACATACATATCACAATGAGAGAAATTTACTACAGTTATGCAGATTTTTCATCATTTAATTTCTTCAAATATAATGCAGAACACTAGCACTTTGTGACAAAAGTTTGAAAAGTGAACCGACATTTATAGGTGTCCGAAGCAAACTGCCAAAACGAAAGTAATAGTCCTTCGGGACTCAAATCCCTTTGGGCTAAAAAAAAATTGGAATATATATATACACTCGTGCAAAATTAAGAGAATTGGCACGTTATGTCGAATTTCTGAAAAGTATTGATGAAATTTGATATGAATGTACACTGTGCAAGGGGGGTGGGGGAATGGGACAGTTTCTATATCCTCTGTTCTACTGGGCCGATTGACGAAATTCAACTTCCGTTTTTAATGTCTCCAAAAGGCGACTTAAGATATGTATTCGATTTATATATAGCATAGTTACAATATAGATATTTTGTCATAAAATCGGACTTTTTCTAAAATAACACTTTTTTTTTTTTTTTTTTTCATATTTCGATTCTACAACTGAAATTACGCCAAACTACCAAGTTTTGTAAAAATCGCACGAGAAGTTTTTGAAAAATTAGGTCTCAAAATTTGAGCTTCTCAATGTTAATCGAGTTTGGTTTATATTTATTAATCTCTTTTTTTTTAATTAAACTTATTTGATTCTTCCTTTCACATTTCGAAGTTCAAGTTCATTCCAAATAAAATTCACCCAGTTTTTATGATTCATTTTTAAAATTTGTATTTTCAAATAATTTTTATAAATTTTTCAAAAAACATTTTGAATTATAATCTATAAAAATTTTACTGTCATCTTAAAGCATATGTATTTCTAAATATACCTGCAAAAAATTAGTTTTTTATGTTTTAAAATATATGTGAATTTATATGTGTTTTGAAATTGGCATATTTGTTGAAAGCGATAAAACATCAAATGTAAACCACATTTGCTAAAACACTTTGCTAAAATTATTTGAAAGTAAGAACGATGTAACTTTTTCCCTGCTCATGCACAGTGTAAAAAAGAAGGAACGAGGAGTCTTTTTTTTCCGCTCCGACATAATGGAAGGGAAAGGAAATTTGGCTGCCATATATTAAGAAGTTCGCCAATTATTCTTGGCGCAAACTGAAAAAAAATGTCGCCAAGAAACATTTTTTAATTTCTCCGTAAATTTCGCACCAAATTTTACAAAATTTAATATGTAGGCATAATTTGAGTCGTAGAATCGAAATGTGGAAAAAATTGGTATGCTATTTCAGAAAAAGTCCGATTTTGTATCAAAATACCTATGTTAGAACAATGCTGTATATAAATCTAATATATATCCTAAATCGCGCTTTCGTGACATGAAAAACGCAATTTGAATTTTACCAATCGGCCCAGTAAAACGGAAGATATAGAACTGTACTTTTTTTTTTTTTTTTTCTTTTTTTTTCTCAGTGTACACTTATAGCAGAAGAAGCATCGTTTAAAAGTCACTTTATTGTGCGCATGATACTCATTAAAGCTCATAGTGCAGGGATGTCCAAAATCCACGTTGTGATCTCGAACTTAAAATGAGCCTAATGTGGAGTATGGCTCCCTTTCACAGCCAGACAGGTCGCGCAGCATGACGGCATACTGGGCTGGAGACATTTTAGGAATTCCTGTGGCAGTCGAACACTCTCCTGCAGCAAAGCAGTTTTTAGCTCCGGGATGATTCTCAGAATGGATGGCGAGATGAATTTTCCCTCCAAAGAGCATCCGTGACATGTTCTATAGGAGATTTGGCTACCCAATCCGTGCGGCTAATGTCTTCACTTTGCAGGTAGTTGTCGACAAGCCGAACAGTACACGGAAGCGCCTTGTCCATTAACAGGAACCTATAACCAACTGCTGCCCTGAAAAGTCGAATGTGGGGCTGTTAGATCTCCTTTCTATACCTCACAGCAGTCAGGAAGTGTGTCAGACACATGTAGGGGTGTGTGGCTGTCCAACATAATGCTTTCCCAAATTCTTATACCTCTAGCACCGTTATGATCCTTTTCCCTGATGAGGGACAGATAGTATGTTCCAGGCGTTCTCCATATACAGATACGCCGAGAATCAGTATCCAGTCTGAATCTCGACTCGTCTGTAAAAAGCACGTTGCTGTGAAGAAGTGTGATCCAAGGTGCATGATGTTTGCACCACACTGAATGCGTCTTGAGTGTTGCAATATGTGGGACGCAAACAGCGGGTCTTCTGGTATACAGCCCTGTCTCATGAAGCCTTCGAGCAACTGAAAACCATAAAACTCGGGTTCCAGTGGCAGCGTACAGCTCACGTGTTAGTTGTGAAGCTGTAGCAGTCCTGTGTTGCCGCCTTGAAAGTGCCAAGTAACGACCCTCATTCGTCGTTGTGGATCTTGGTCGACCATGTCAAGGGTCTTGGCTATATAGATTCAGCGTCCTGAAATTGGCAGAAGGTAGCTTCTGCCGCCATTAGGTTTTGCTCACACAGTCTGATTGCTCCTCTTTTACCATGTGACCCCAACGCATCTGCTAATATACGGATAAAAGTTGAACATGGTTTGTCTCCACGCAATCCGTCATAGATATCAATCACACTCAATTCGTTCGCTGATCAGAGAACCACATACACAACGCGTTCGTACCCAGACTAGTGGAAACGAAGCATGCTTTTTTTATCTATGGTTATGCGGCAAGTCGAACTACTAGCTTTCAGCAGTTTTATCAGTCAGCTGCT